AAATATGAATCAGCGAAGAGGTCAAAAATCCAGCCATGAATTGAGGATTTGCCGAGGCGTATTTCAGGGCGACATGCTTTCACCTGCCTTATGCTAGCAGTAGCACTCATTAGCCATGCTCTGAACGAGGCTCTGTTAAGATTAGCTCCCTGCCCCACTCGCTTACGTGGCCTAGGCAACCACCGACGGATCCAGGCAGGTATCCACTCAATCCACCCAACTAATCCCTTCCCTTGTGCCTCCAATCCCCGCACCTGAAACCTCCCCATACGACATTCCCCTACCATCTCATCCGTGGCACTTACCTCCTTTGTGGCAGTGAGGTAACGGGACCCGGAAAAATCGTTTGCAAACCGTGCGTGGCACCGGCCAAGCCGAGCCGAGTTTTAGTAATTGCATGGTTTCTCACCGTTTTATGTCTGGAAATTTAAATTAACTTATGAAATAATTGAATTATCACCAGCATAACTGTCGGTAGAAGGATTACTTATTGAAAACTTAGAAGCCGGTGTGAAGATCCGAAATTAGCGATGTTACTAGGATGCTTCAGCCACACGCGTGCTGGATTTTCGAATTCTAAACTATATCTTTAGCAACTACTCCACCGTATTTTCGTTATGTGTGAGTTGCTGCCCTGAAAAACATGCGAAAGGTTGTAATTACGTGTTCGCAGGTCCACGCACAGCTACGCGACGATTTATATAAATTTAATCCATAACATTTTACAGGTGAGAGGCGAAGTCAAAGTGGAAGAACTGATTGAAAAATTCAAACGTTTCCGGGACAATTTTGTACGCGATACGGAAAGTTCTGAAGAATTTTAAAAAAAATTTATTGTTATGTGAGCTGTTTTTACTGCTTCATTAAGGGTTCATGTAATGACCTACTTGATTCTTCCTTTCGGGCTTTCACCTTTTTTGGCCCTTTGGCTTAAGTTCTACTCTAATTTTTGGCTTGTTTTATTTACTACTGATTCTGTCCAGAATTTTTTTGTCCAGTGGTATTCCCGAGCTGGTTCGCATGCTGTTTTCTTTTAAAAAAACAGTACGGGCCTAGAAGGCCCTGTGAGGAAAATAGTAAGAAGAGGCCGGAACAGCGGCCCAATAAGAGAAGGTTATTGGGCGGCGGGGGCCGCAACAACTCTACATGCAATAGGAATATGCAAAAGTAGGACAGTAGCCGTCCAAAATCCGAGGAAGTAATGAGGGAAGGAAAATAAGAAAGGTCCAGATTGTTGTGACGCATATTTTTTGAAAAACAGGGTGAGCTTTTAAATTTTTTTCGAGTTGAGCTCAAAAGCTGATTTTCGAACTTAGCTTTGCATTTTCCTCATTCACGTATAGATGGATTAGGAA